CACTCAGTTTTCTGTAGCTTTCCCTATCTCCCTTGCATTTTGTTTCCTTTCTCTTCTCTGCTATTTCTAAGGCCTCGTTGGACAGCCTCTTTGCTTTCTTGCATTTCCTTTTCTTTGAGATGGCTTTTGTTGCTGCTTCCTGTACAATGTTATGAGCCTCCATCCATAGTTCTTCAGGCACTCTGTCCACCAAATCCAGTTCCTTAAATCTGTTCTTCACTTCCACTGTGCATTCATAAGGGATTTGGTTTAGATTATACCTGACGAGCTCAGCAGTTTTTCCTACTTTCTTCTGTTTAAGCTTGAATTTTGCTATAAGAAGCTGATGATCAGAACCACAATCAGCTCCAGGTCTTGTTTTTGCTGACTGTATAGAGCTTCTTCATCCTTGGCTGCAGAGAATATAATCAATCTGATTTTGATATTGCCCATCTGGTTATGTCTATGTGTAGAGTCGCCTCTTCTGTAGTTGGAAAAGTGTGTTTGTGATGACCAGCTTGTTCTCTTGACAAAACTCTATTAGCCTTTATTCTGCTTCGTTTTGAGCTCCAAGGCCAAACTTCCCTGTTGTTCCTTTTATTTCTTCACTCCCTATGTTAGCAATCCAATCCCCTAAAATGAGAAGAACATCTTTCTTTGGTGTCAGTTCTAGAAGGTGTTGTAAGTCTTCACAGAATTGGTCAATTTCAGCCTCTTCAGCATTGCTGGTCGGTGCATAAACTTGGATGACTGTGATGTTGAAAGGCCTGCCGTGGATTCATATTGAAATCATTCTATCATTTTTTGAGATTGTATCCCAGTACAGCTTTTTCCACTCTTTTGTTGACTATGAGGGCTACTCCATTTCTTCTATGGGATTCTTGCCCACAATAGTAGATAAGGTAATCATCTGAACTGAATTCGCCCATTCCCATCCATTTTAGTTCACTGACGCCCAGGATGTCGATGTTTATTCTTGCTATCTCCTGTTTGACCACATCCAACTTACCAAGGTTCAGAGATCTTACATTCCAGGTTCCTATGCAGTATTTTTCTTTGTAGCATTGGACTTTCCTTCCACTTCCAGGCGTGTCCACAGCTGAGCGTCCTTTCAGCTTTGGCCCAACTACTGTACTTCATTAGCACTGGAGCTATTTGTACTTGTCCTCTGCTCTTCCTCAGTAGCATGTTGGACACCTTCCGACCTGAGGGGCTCATCTTCCAGCGTCATATCTTTTAGCATTTTGTTTCTGTCCATTGAGGGTTTTTTTGGCAAAAATACTGGAATGGCCTGCCAGTTCCTGTTGTAGGTGGATCGCGTTTAGTCAGAACTCTCCACTATTACTTGCCCGTCTTGGGTGTCCCTGCACGGCATAGCCCATAGCTTCTCTGAATTACTCAAGCCCCTTTGCCATGACAAGGCAGCAATCTGTGAAGGAGGATGTGTGTGTTATGTGCCATCAATTCAGAAATGACTTATAGCAGCCCAAGTAGGGCTCTTAAGGTAAGTGAGATATATAAGGAGCGGTTTTACCAGTTCCTCTCCCCCAAAGAAGTTTCCATGGCTGACTGGGGATTCATACCCAGGGCCTCTGAATGCTATTCCATTACTCTGTCTACTACACCACACTCCCACCATACAGAGGTTATAATAAAAGAAAACCCACTCATCCATGCAGGTGATGAAGGGATGGCATTTGTGTCTCTTACCATCCTATAATTATCTGCTTATAATTATAATTATTTTGACATCTCTATGTATGCTTGATCCAAGTGGATAATTTCCCAAGGTTAGTGTTCCAAGATTATACCCCATGGTTGGCCACCTCTCCGCTGAAATTCCCTCCTCCGCAGCCCAAAATGGTGGGAGGCACAGTTTGCCTCTTAAAATTCTTTTGAGGTATCGGACAAGCAAGGATGGCCGCTGGAAAGGCCTTGTGTGAAGATTCCAAAGATAAGGGGTATACATTTTTTTCAACACCCTAATGTGGAGTGTAATATTGTTTATTTTTTTACATCACTCTTTAAAAGGCCTTTGTCTCTTGGCAACAGAGCAGTTGGGAGGGGACTGGCCTGGCCTCCCTTGGAAGAGGGCTCCACAGCCTGGAAGCAGCTATTGATGAGATGCTCCCTTCTACCCTGGCAGAGATCCTGGTGGGATCAAGAGAAGTGCCTGGGCAGGCTCATTTAAGAGAATATCTTTCTTGGATGTTAGCGGTGTAGAAAAGCAAGGGAATTCTAAAGGATCAACTAATACTTGGTTTAAAAGGGGATTTCCTGGAAATCTTTAAATATGTTGCTTTATTCACCACTAGGGGGCTTGGAAGCACATGTTCAGACACTTATATATCCTGTCATTGCTCTGACCATCCATTTCTGGCAAACGTATCTATCTCTGCTACTAGAACACACTTATTGTGAATGTCTTGGTGTGCTTTGGGTGTTCAACTGTTAGTCCCAACTAGAGCAGATCCACTGAATTAAAGGGAATTTAGTAAGTCAGTACCCATGTAACTTCCACTGATTTAATGAGATTACTCGGTTTGGGACTAACAGTTGGATTTAGGTCACTGATTACAAATTAACATAGGATGCAGTTAGACTGACAATAAGAACTGTTTTGGAATCAGGTTTTGCATAATTAAAATTGATGTGAAAAATCCCAGCTCCATGATGCATGGTGAAGCCTGCTTTTTTGGGGCTGCAAAGTGAGGTGTTGTTTTTAATAGGCTGGCAGGGGCTTTTTTGTTTAACACACTTGTGAAACTGACTCTTTATGACTCCCTCTGGGCAATGTGAACACCCCTGTCATATCAAATACTGCCTTTGTGGGCAGTAGCAGGTTTTGGAAAGCAGGGACACTGCTGTCCAGCCATCCAAAGTAATGTCACTGTCACTACATCATTTTAATTGCGAGAAAGAGAGAGAAATGCATGCATTCCAAAGGATGCCTGGAAACTGTACTGAAAACAAATAGGAAAGAGAAGGTTGCAATCATTGGTGATGCACCAGGGCCAGCAACAATGGAAACCCCGTGGTCTGCAAACATGCCGGTTAATGACATGATCTGAAATCTCAGGTGTAGTTTCCTGAAGCAGTTTTAAGCCCCTACGTGTATTTTATATCAAAGTAATACTTTTTAAAAAGAGTGCACATGGTGATAAAAAATACACATGCGACTGAAAATCAATTTAAAACACATTGGAGCTGAAATCGATACAAATCAGCAGTGCCCTCATTCACCAAAAAGCATGAAATTGTAAGTGTTAGCACCAGTTTTTGTTTCCACACCAAATTACAGAATTAGAGTTGAGAGGCTGAAAGTTTAAGGAGAAGGAGGGATGGCATGTTGTGTGGATGCATGGAGTATGCTTACTCCTCACAGGGTGTGCCTACGTCTTCCTTGGCACCGAAGTTATAGTGGGTCTTTTATGTTTTTTTCTATATGAAATTACATGTATAAATACCCTAATTTTCATGCAGATATCTTATATGGAGGCAGTAAAGTCAACAGGCAACAGTCTCTCTCTCTTAATGCAACACACTTCCTGGCAATGTCCTGGCACGCCCATTTGGCATTTGAAGGACCAACCATGTGGAGATGTGCTTGGAAGGGGGGCATTTTTCATGGCAGTCCTCACACTTGGAAGTGTTCCTCATCTGGAACCAGCACTCACTCAGATGACTTGCTGACTTGAATTGATGGGGGGGAGGGCTGAGCCTTTTAGTTTCCTGAAAAAGCAAAACTATGGAAACTGCATGGGCATTTCATTCAAATGGTAAGGAACATGCAAGCATGGCCATGTGCAGTGAAAAATGAATGCAAAAAGGGGAACCTCTGGCAAGGTTTACCAGCTACTTGATTGTCCCCCACCCCTATCACTTCAGTCATAAGTCATTCCCCCTGCAGAGGCGGATCTTTGCTGCCATTTGCCACTTCTTTTCCAAATTGCCTACTTAAGGGCTTGCATTTCACACATATCCTCATTGTTAGTAACAAGAGAATAGTTCTTCCCCCCTAGTGTAAAACACACTGACCTGAGACAGAATCATCTATTTCGTTACCTATTGCTGTCCCATTGCTTTGAGGAACAGGAAAGCCGAGTTTGCTTCTTTTAAGTTTTATCATGGTTATTCGAGCAATAGGTGGTAAATTTTTAAGCTTTGGATAATAAAATGAGTTTGCTGGGTGACTTGGAGAAGAGGAAGTGATCTGTGGATTAAAACACACACACACACACAATTAGTACATCATAAATGGGAACTGCAGTAAAATATTGCAATATAGATAGGATGCTTTTAGTAAGATGTCTCACCACTGCATCCCATTTCCCCTTTCCCTCCTCATTTATTTTGCCTCCTATTTTGGCAGTCATTTGGTTGTCCCTGAGCTGTCTTGGGATTCTGAGCCCTTAGAGCATCAGTGGGAAAGAAGACTGGCTTCAGTACAGGACTCAACTCCCAGGGCCAGCCTGGCTCCTCTCTCTCTCTCTGAGAAGCTATTCCTCCTGCATCCCACCTACCACCCCATCCCACCCCACCCCGAATCATCCAGCCCTTTCTGATTCTCTCTGCAGATCAGAAGGGCAAGCACTGGGCAAAGGAACTCAACTGCATACTCCAGCTGGGTCCCCAAAGTTGAAGGAGAAATGAAGTAGATTCAGCAGTGCCCTTGAGAGGGGGGAGGGCTTGGCAGCTTGAGACCATGACTGAGTCCTAAGCAGACATCCTTCCCTCTTCTCCTTTCCCAGTCAGAGAGGGACTTAGCAAGAGGTTACACACATCAAATGAAACAGCTGGGTAGGCTAAACGTAGCCTGTGGGCCACATGGAGTTAACCCTGCCTTTAGGTGCAGGTTCATATGCAAGCAGGATTTCCTTTCTATACTTTACTCCTAAACTCCATGAGGCTTTGTAGGTTAATACCAGGACTTCCCACCAATCTTGAGTTTCCCAAGACATGACAGAGGAGAAGGAGAAACATTTTCTGTTCACATACACGTGTGCGCTCCTCTTCTATCTCCTGTCTGCCTTGCTTTTCACACCTGAGAGAAAATTTGTGGTAAATCTGGGAGTGGGTGTGGTGGAATGGGTGCCAATGGGCTCAATCTTGTAGACAGAGGAAATGAATATCATACTAAGATATTTCAAGACCACTGGGTTTACAAATAAGGTATTAAATAACCGGTCTTGTAGAACAGCATCTATTTGTAAACATAAAGATGGAACAGGCAGTCTTGTGGGAGATGGTAAAGTGTATTATACCAGATTTTTAAAATCTGAATTAAATTAAATAGATAAGTAAAGTAAATTACTATCTAACAATGTACTGAAATCACCATAAAAGGAGAACTACACTGGACAGCGCCTTTTTTACTGTGAAGGCTAGTGGGTTTCAGCCAGTTTTGTGAAAAAGGTTGAGATGGGCAAATCCTGATAGCATTAAAGACAGAAACACTTTGTTACAGATAACCCATAATGAGAGTTGAAAGCACACTACTGTTGGAGGTAGGTGATTTAGGCAGACTTTGGGGGTTTCAAAATCAGCTTTCAAAGAGTCTACTCAAGTGATGAAGAAAATCACCAAACAAGCCCAATTAATTTGTGTACTCCCTGAGGTTAGAGTTTTTGCTCTGACACACAGATACTTTTATAACTCATTTTTATAAGTGGTCTGCAAGCACCTTGAAAACAATGGAGTAATAAGTAGAAGCCAACATGGATTTGTTAAGAACAAATCCTGCCAGGCTAATCCTATTTCATTTTTTGAGCAGGTTACCTCCTTGTTGATGGTGGGAATGCTGTAAATGTAACTTCAACAAAGCTTTAACAATGTGTCTCATGATATCCTGATTAGGAAGCTAATTGGGGGTGGGCTGGATTTAGCAGCTTCTAAAATGGATACACAGTTGGTTACAGAATTGGTGGGCTGGATTTAGCAGCTATAAAATGGATACACAGTTGGTTACAGAATTGCACTCAGAGAGTGCTGATCAATGGTTCCTTCTCAAACTGGGAAAAGGTAACAAGCAGGGTTCCACAAGGCTCAGTCCTGGACTTGGTGCTCTTCAATATTGTTATGAATGACTTGGATGAGAGGCTGCAGGGAATGCTTATCAGATCTGTGGATGACACAAAATTGGGTGGAATAGCTAACACACTGGAAGACAGAAATAAATTTCAAAAATATCTTGATAAGCTTGAGCACTGGATTGAAAACCACAGAATGAAATTTAACAAGGATAAAAGCAGAGTTCTAGAGCTAGGAAAAAGAAACCAAATGCACAATTACAGGATGGGGGATACTTGACTCAGTAACACTGCTTGTGGGAAGGATCTTGGAACTATTGTAGACCGCAAGCAGAATATGAGCCAGGAGCTACAAAAAAGAAAAATGCTTTTTTAGGCTGCATTAACAGAAGTATAATCTCCACAGCTTGTGAAATACTAGTTCCCCTCTATTCAGCATTGGTTAGCCTTCATTTTGAGTACTCTGTCCAGTTCTGGACACCATGCTTTAAGAGGAAAGCCAACAAACTGGAACAAGTTTGGAGGAAGGCAACGGATGATCAAAAGACTGGAAACCAAGCTCTGAGCGGAAAGAGTGAAAGAATGGGACATATTTGAGAAAATAAGACTGGGGGGGGATGATAGCACTCTTCAAATATTCGGAAAGTTGTCATACAGAGGAGAGACAAGATCTGTTCTCAATTATTCCAGAATGCAGGAACACACTAATGGGTTCAGTTACAAGAAGCCTAATTTTAGTTGAATATCAGGAAAAACGTTGTAACTGTTAGAGCAGTTCAACAATGGAAACAATTACCTCAGAATGTGGTGAGCACTCCAAAACTGGAGGCATTCAAGAGAGTTAGACAGCCATATATTAGATATACTTCAGCTTTAATTCTTGCACTGAGCAGAGGGTTGAACTTGATGGCCTTATAGGCACCTTCCAACTCGATTATTCTCCAGTTCTGTTTCCTTTTCTGAAAACATTGGCTAGGTCTACTTTTCCTGTGGTAAAGAGATCTTTCCTCTAGAATGTATCTTTAACAGCATTATAGAAGAGTCATGGCCTCAAATGTCAGAAGAGGAAAATAGATGTACTGGAGGAGGAGAAATAATTGATATGAATGGTATAGCCTGCTTCTTCCAAAGGAACATTAAAAAGCTGTGCAGTACAATACATACCTACTCAGATATAGGACTGATTCAGTTCAGTGAAGCTTCCTTGCTTGGGACTATAGCCTTAGGCAGCAAGACGTGGAGAAATTTATGAGTGGGATAGAAGGAAAACGTAACCACTAGATTAGAAGAAAGAGGCACCAATGCCCTGACACTGTCAGATTTAAGGTTCTGGTCAGAGCAAGAACTAGATCCCGTGAGCTCTATACAGACATGAGTGTAACTATGGGTGGCTAGCATAAAACCCAAACAAATATAGACTTCATCTAACAGTCACACATAGGGACAACATGTCTCAACATGGGGATATTGTTTGTTATATATGTTGGAAGCTGCCATCTATTGACTAGATGGGCAGGGTACAAATACAATAAATAAAATAAAATAAATAAACAAATACCCACACAGAATTCAGTGTGTGTAATAGATCTTTCAGGAAAAAAAAACATATTTTCACTAATAACATTAAAAATCAGAAATATACACATGCATAGTTGTGATGCCCAAAGCATGGGCATCGTGCAATCTGTAGGGAAAGACTTGAAGTGAGTAGGTTTGATCACAATCTTGCCACTTTCTGTAGACTCAGGACATCTCTGGCTGGATGTCTTTTTTGTTTGGGATGGAATCTGGTATATTAACATGCACCAGCAGCAGAAAAGGTGGAAATGGGAAGATAGAAAAAAGAAGCATTCCTGTACAAGAATGTACTCTTGAATCCACCGTAAAAGAAGAGTCATTTGGAAGAAAAACAGGCTTTCTATTTTGTTAAAAGTTAAGGTCTCAATACAGATCATTTTCCAGAACATGAACCAATACAGTCAAAAGTTTCCAGCAAATGTGATTTCTGTGTTAACTTTCTTTTCAGCAGAATTTATAAATATTTCATTAAGCAACTGTTTTTCTTCAGTCTCTACACTTTTTTTCCTTTATGGAAAATTCTCAGTAATTTCAAAAACTGTGTAACAGAGCACAGTTCAGGTGAAATATTTTATAACTGCACTGTTACACACAATATGTTGACTCAGTATATCAGTCTGCTGGGGAAATGGGCCATGGAATACGAACTGCGTTTATTCTTTTCAATTACTTTCAGGGACTTGGAACCCACCCACCTTTCCCTTTTTTTCTGGGGGGGGGGGGAACTTTTTTTTAAAAAGGGACTCAGGACTTGGTACCAAAGCCCTGAACTTGAATTCTAACTCCGACTCTGGTCTATAGTTAAAATTCACTACAGTTCTTTTTGCCTTTGGACCAGAGAGTAAGCTGGCAACAATCAAAACAGGGAGCAAAAGATTCTATCCTTCCCTTTGTGGCTGTTGCTAGAAGAGAAGGTGTAATGGACACTCATTCTAAACACAGGGAAGGGTGGGTTGTTAGCTCACTAATGTATAAAACTTTTAATCACATTTAGGTTCATAGCAGAAAATAATTGTAACTTTTTTTTCCAACAAGGTTGGATGTTCAAGTGCTTTGTGAACGGTAAACTTACCTCTTTGACAGTATCTTGTGGGATGGTGGCAAAGTTGGGCGAGGAAAATGTGAAACCACTGTCAGTTCCGGCATCGTACGGAAAAAGTTCCAATGATATCTTCTGTTTCCAGTGATCTTTTTCACACAAATTTAAACTATCAATGCCTACGAACCAGTCAGGGCTGGGCACAATTCGTACAGCCATGGATACCTAATTAAGAAAAAAAATTGCATCAAAAAATTGAAAATATTAAGCATAGTTCTCCCATATTAGATTATTCTACCATTCATCTTAATCTTAAAAGATGACACTGTTAAGGTGCTACATTCAATACGCCAGCAAGTTTGGAAAACTCAACAGTGGCCAGAGGATTGGAAAAGATCAATCTACTTCCCAATCCCAAAGAAGGGCAGTGCCAAAGAATGCTCCAGCTATCATACAATTGCACTCATTTCACACGCTAGCAAGGTTATGCTCAAAATCCTACAAGGTAGGCTTCAACAGTATGTGGACTGAGAATTCCCAGAAGTACAAGCTGGATTCTGATGAGGCAGAGGAACTAGAGCCCAAGTGGCTAACATGTGCTGGATTATGGAGAAAGCCAGAGAGTTCCAGAAAAAAAAACCTACTTCTGCTTCATTGACTATGCAAAACCCTTTGACTGTGTGGACCACAGCAAACTATGGCAAGTCCTTAAAGAAATGAGAGTGGCTGACCACCTTATCTATCTCCTGAGAAACCTATACGTGGGACAGGAAGCAACAATTAGAACTGGATATGGAACAACTGACTGGTTAAAAATTGGGAAAGGAGTACGACAAGGCTGTATCTTGTCTCCCGGCTTACTTAACTTATATGCAGAATACATCATGCGAAAGAGGAGACTGCAAAAAATGGACTGAAGTTCAACATCAAAAAAATGAAGATCATGACCACAGGTCCCATCTCCTCCTGGCAAATAGAAGGAGAAGATATGGAGGCTGTGACAGATTTTACTTTCCTGGGTTCCATGATCACTGCAGATGGTGACAGCAGCCACGAAATTAAAAGACGCCTGCTTCTTGGGAGGACAGCAATGATAAACCTTGCCAGCATCTTAAAAAGCAGAGACATCACCTTGCCAACAAAGGTCCGCATAGTCAACGCTATGGTTTTTCCTGTAGTGATGTATGGAAGTGAGAGCTAGATCATAAAGAAAGCTGACCACTGAAGAATTGATGCTCTTGAGAGTCCCCTGGACTGCAAGGAGAACAAACCTATCAATTCTAAAGGAAATCAACCCTGAGTGCTCACTGGAAGGACAGATCCTGAAGCTGAGGCTCCAGTACTTTGGCCATCTCATGAGAAGAGAAGACTCCCTGGAAAAGACCTTGATATTACGAAAGTGTGAAGGCAAGAGGAGAAGGAGATGACAGAGGATGAGATGGTTGGACAGTGTCACCGAAGCAACCAACATGAATCTCCGAGAGGCAGTGGAAGTCATGGAGTCCTGTTGTGCTCTAATCCATGGGGTCACGAAGAGTCCGACACGACTAAACGACTAAACAACAACACCATTCATCTTGGTTTACTGTTATTATATAAACAAATATAACAGTAAGCTGGGAATATTATAGCATTTCCTCAGAAAATAACATAGACTATTTTTATAATAAAATATGTATCTACCACTTTTTTTAAAAAAAATCCAGATACATCTTTCCTAAAAAGTTAAACGTAGTTAACAATAATAAGAATATATTTTGAAAGCAACATTATACTTGTACTGTAACTATATCATACTTGGTTGGCCGGATAGCTCAGTGGTTTAGAGGCTGGGAGTTTGATTCCCCACTGTGCCTTCTGGGTGGCTTTGGGCATGCTGCATAGTCCCAAGATTGCCCCCAGAAGAAGGGGACAATAAACTACTGTGTATGCTGTATCTAGAAAGCCCTAAAAATGGTTGCCGTAATTCAGAACTGACTTGATGGCACATATATTATACTTCTAGACTATCAGGCTTTGATGGTATTCACATAAGAAACAGGAAAACTCTTACAGCCCTTAACTGCTCTAACAGCCAGATCAAGTTTGGGTAACTCTGGAGAGTATGGCAGCCATTTTCACCCTCCCTTGGATCTTAATAGGCTGTAACCCCAATCACATGGTGACAAAAAATAAATCAATGTAAAAATGGGCAAATATGGATGACAGGAACAGTTGGCTATTTAAAGGGTATTTCAGGACTCCTCATACCCGTATGAGACCCAAAGTAGTGTTCATAAATATGAATCAACACTTATATCAATTAAAGAACATCCTGATTTTTTAAAAGAAAAAAAACACATTTTTTTCCACCGATGTTTGTAGGCAAGAGGCATCTCTTTCCTACTGCAGTCAAACACAGGAAGAAATGCTCTGCTGAGACAGGTCTGCTGTAACATATATACGCTCCGTTTATAATTCAAGCATTTTTGTTTCTTTAAGACTGCTTATTTTTTCTAGTTACATATTTATTAAAAAATTAATTCCTTGAATAAAATTTTTATTATATAGGATGGGCTAATTTTTTTTTAAAAAAACTGATGGTGTTAATTCTTTTATAATTGCAGATGCAACTGTAGGATTAAAGGGCTTTGGAGCAAAGCCTTACTTACCAGAGAGTATCTTGAATGCACTTCAAAGTCAGTGGAGGCTTGTCCTGTGCCAGTGGAAACTGCAGGAGTGGAGAATATTCCATGCACACTTTGGATTTTTTCTCCAGCTGCTTCTACTTCCTTCATTAATGCCCATGGTTCACCTCTTTCAGCAAACTCGCGCATACCATTACTGGCATACTCATTTGTTTTCCACATGTTGTAATCAGAATTATGGGCCACGCCTGTCAGAGGGAAGAGATTGCAATAGAGGAAAGTCTGATTTCAATTTGCCTTAGAACTTCATATATACCATTTCAGCCTATCCACTTTTTTTGAAGCGGGATAATATGTATATATATATATATTTTAAAAAATGTAAGGTATGTTGTTTACTTCAGCTGCAGTAAATTAATAGCAGTTACAGAATCTGGGGGCAGGAAGGCGGGGACAGCTCCAGATGTTGTATGCAGCCGTGATACTGCATGTTTTGCCTTTCAGTTGCATGGATTTAAGGGTGACTTAATTAGAGCCATGAAGGAAAGAGGATGTTGCTTATACAGAATTAACTTGCCAGCACTTCTGTGCTACATGACCTTCACTTACCTAGAAGGGATGACCATTGCGCTGGAGGCCTGTACAGTGGGTACTGCTTGGGGAAAGCTGCTTGGCTCCATTTCCCTGTGAAAACAACGCTGTACGTCGCCAGCTCTTCTGCTGTGCAGACTGAATCGTCATCAAGAGGCACGCAAGTGACACAGCTCAGAAGAGTTAAAAGTAGTGTTGAAATCAGTTTGTCTGAGCAAGAGGCAAGTACCAGGTTTTCCATTTCCTTATTTATGGGGAAGGACAAAACTCGGTTAGTTTCTGCATATTACACAAGTAAATGCTTAAGGTAAAGTTCTGAGGAAAGAAAAAGAACTTTGCCAGAAACCCTTGTTGCCTTTCAGAACATGCTTATACAACTTTTAAGATAAGCTCCCGTATCCAGTGTAACTCAAAACTGTAGCAGTACTTCATGCAAATACTTCTGATCGGAACAGAAAACATGATTGTAGCTGTGCGATTTTGCAGAGCCGTTTCTGATATTGTTATTAAATCATATTTGAATGAAATTTTGGCTTCATTGCCTCAGCAAATGTTTGTACAAAGCATGGATAGTATATTTATGCTCTAACATGAGTCCTCTGTGTTATCTTTCCCTCAGATATGGTTTATCTTGAATCTGAGTTAAAAATTACTTCATGGCATAACACGGAATGTCAGTTTTAGTGCATTAGAAATGTTGCTCATTTGCTTGCCATATTTCATATTCTTGTAATTAGGCAAATAACTTTTTATAAGCATCAAGACAGCACAAAAGGCAAAAGATTAGCAGCTATTACATTGTTGTTTTTAATGGTAATTTATTTTTAAAGGGTTTATACTTGGGTGCAATTAAAAACAGCAGTTCTAATGGCTGTGGAGTAAATCAGCAATACTTACAAATATTTTCCCACTTAGTGGTGTCTCCTCTTGAGCCTGGTAAGGCAAGAGTGCTTGCTTTTGCCTCCAGCTGAGCAGTTCTGCCAGAGGAGTGAGCAGAAGTCCTGCTATTTATGCCTGAAGAAGGTCCCTTTGGTCCAAGCTTCACTGCAACCTTTAGACTCTCTAGCTCTTGCTGAATGTTTCTTGTGCTTGTTTGAAATGCTTTTACTGTTTATGAGAATTAGTTGCATGCCAGTTGTGTTGTTTGGGTTTTTGGGTTTTGTTTTTCAAAGAAAAAAACTATTACAACTGGGATGCTGCCTAGACAAAGCATGATTTTTGAGAACTTACATTATTGCCACCACTTCAAGGTTTCTGGTGACTGGACATTTCTCTGTTCTTGCTTTTATGCCCCTAAGCTAAGGATGAACCGCTTCCAACACAAAACCTTTTCTCATGGAAGATTTTTATATGAGAAGCATATTTTTGCAAGTTTATTGTCTGACAGATGGCTGTTCCAAGTATTTACTGAAAGCACTCCCCTCTAAAGCACCCATATGCACATGTTTGAGCTAGGAAATGAAAACTGAAGATCCCAACAAAAATATGGCTTTCAAAATATCCTACACATGTGGTTTCAAGAATACAATATCATGTATACATTTTAATTACTAAATATTCTCTGACAGAGCCGTATGAGATAGACTGTTTGGCTTGAAAAGTGACCTTAGAGCACCTCTCTGAGGTTCTGTTGCTCTCATTAACATTTTAGGTTTGGATTAAAATTGTTTTAGATTTTGGTTTGGATTCAGATATCAACTGGGTGACACTCCCAGGGTGGGAGTAATGGTGAGGGATTTCTTAGACATTGGCTTCATGAAGTCAAGCCTCTCGTCACTACTGGAACTCAACTTTATTAGGGTGGCAGTGGAGAGCACGTACAAGGTTTGGCTGAGTACCGGTGCACCCGGTTCCACCAGTTTGCAGGGAGGCTGAGTTAGCTCCACTAAGCCCCCTTCTAAGTCCACTCCAAGCCCTAGTTCCCATCACTGGGCCAGGGCCATCCACAGCCCATGGCTGAGGTCTAGTTTTCCACCCTGACCAAGCTAACTAACACCCTTTAAGGAGGGCCCGGAGTGTTCAGCAGTTACAGGCTCCCCTTTCTCCTGAGTCCTTCATACCTTCAGTGGTTCCTTCTGGCTCTTCTTCCCCCAGTGCTTTCTCTGGTTTGAGGTGGGGCTTGGGTGACCAGTGGGTCTCCTTGGCCCCCAGGAGTCTGGGGTTGGTGGTGGACTAAGGAGTTGCATAGCTCCTCCACAACCTCATCCCCTCGCAGCCTGCTTCTTTATCCATGACCTGGTCTAGGGCTTCTCAACCATCAGCTGGCAAGCCTCACCAAGAGTGAAAAATATGGGATCCAGTGCCCCTGCCACCGCTGCCCACTCCTCTCTGTTTGTCCCTGATGAGGACAACAAATCTCCTTCCTTTCCTCCTCCTCCTTTAATCTGAAATCAAACCAACTCGGCCCAGCCTCCAACCCCTCACCGAGGTGTGGCTTATCCACCTCACCTCTTTCTTCTCCACCTGGGACCTTGCTTTCCCTCACATTACCCCCCAAATGCCCTCCTGCCAGGGTCTCCATCAGGTCCACTGGGGGTGCAGGGTGAGGGCAGACCAAAGAAGGCTGGAACATCAGCAGGATATGTTACAGTACTCATAAATATGGAATAATCATCTTCATATTGACTGTATACTACATATATAATTCATAAAGGCTCTCCCTCTGATTTAAACAGGATGTGCACTAGAATCAGTCCTTGCTGATAGTCTCATCTCGTAAAGACGAATTCTTTCCCACCCATCTGTCCTTTGGGGTTGAGGGAAATTGAGGAAAAATAAGGAGTGAAAGGCCAAGAATACTAAACATATGGGAGATCAAGATCATTAGCTGAAATATTTTGCAGTTGTATAAATCTTGTTCCCCCAAACATTCTTTATTTATTAGCAATGCATTTTGGCATAACACTTTAGATCCTAAGTGTAAAACAAACTTTAGATGAAAAAAAATTGTTAATATTGTAAAATTTAGGTCACTGCTTGATGTTTTGGTCATCCAGAAAGCAATGTGCCCTTTGGTGAACTCTGATAGAACTGGGAGGAGATCATTTCAAAGCCAGCTGCAGGTTGGGGTGGGGTGGGTCTGGGAGAAGCGTCCTCTCTGCCCTTGACTCCAGTAGGCTGGCCAGTCCAGTGGCGTTGAGTGGCCCTGGCTGGACTCAAAGGGGTTGCCAGTTTCAATTCCCCCACAGTGTGGATGAATGTGATGTTTTTGCCATTAAACAATGAGAAATTTAAACCTTTCCTGCAATAAATTTTCTAGAGAAGCACAACATCTTGGAACTAGATAAGTTTTAGACAATATTTGGTTTCAGTTGTGAAATAACTATTATTCCTGTTTGGATGGTTCACATTTAAGACAACATATCATATATCTGACATATCATGTGTGTGTGTGTGTTAGAATTGTAGGTGCTATACGTATGTATGCTGTGATCTATTTACTGCAGTCCTGTTGAGGAATTACTCTCGTGTAACTCGATGTCGTACTCCTTGTCTGAAGGCGGAAGTGCTATTCATTAAGCACTTCTGCAGACACATGGCACGATTCCTTCCTTCCTTCCTTCCTTCCTCACACATGGCACGATTCCTCCCTTCCTTCCGTCCAAAAGTGGGTCAGGGTGTTACATGTGATTGTGTTTTATGTGGCCTGGCCTGCTCAGTCCTAGGCCAACAAATAAGATTCTGGCCAGTGTGTTACTTCTGGAAGGATAGTATCTTACTTCATGTGAAGATAGCTTCGGTTAACAGTGCTAGGTACTGCTGCCAATGACAGGGCTTAAGAGATTCATGAGACAATTTGAGGGCAAGAGATATAAGGAGGGTAGGGCTTAAGCCCTTGTTATACAAACCGACAAAGGATCAAAATGGTGCTAAAACCAGAACTATCTCTGATTTTTACTTCTCACATTGTCACTGTAATAATATGAACCATGAGCAAGACAACCTTTGGCTTCCCAAGTGTTTCGAGCATTAACTCCTTAAGTCATTGACCAGTAGCCATGCTGGCTGGGGCTTCAGGGAAGCCAAGTCCAAAACATCTTCAGGGCCAAATGTTGATAACCATCACTGGTCTACCCTGGCCAGAGGCCTTCCCTAGAGACCTTTCCCTGCCCTCATCTAAGATCCTTTAAAGCTAGGATTGGCAGCTAGCCAGATAACCATTGGCTTGTCTGGCTTGAGATATTTGCTTCCTTCATGCCCCGTTCCCAAGCAGGATAGGGAAATCCTCTCTCTCTCTCTCTCTCTCTCTCTCTCTCTCTCTGGTGTAGTTTTGCTATGCATAGCGCTTAGTCTCAAAAATTCTTTTTAACTTTATTAATTTGCATGCTCTTCTTTGATATTTCTGCATTTGTTTTCTGGTAGTGCATAGGAAACAGCTTGAGAAAGGGGCCTCTCGTCTGTTTTCTACTCCAGGCTATAGGCTGTCAGGGCTGCGCTCTGCACAAGAACTGTTTAAGGATGCAGTCCAAAGTATCTGTGACTTTCATATATGTCCCCTATGATTTGAAACTCAGAAGATAAAATACCTCTCTTTTTTTCACCTGTGTGCAATCTAATTTTGTGCATCATTTCTTGGATGCTTATTGGAAAAGTGCTTCAGATAAGCACAGAGCCGTGTCTTCTTCTTATAGTCCAATCCCTAGTAGAAAGATCCCATTTAACATAAACAAGAATTGAATGTGTTGTCTATGTAGCTACATGAGATTAATGCATTGCGATGGGATTAGCCATCTCTTTCCAGCTGATGAGTCCCCAGCCAATAGCAAGTATGTTTGTCTTCATGCCCAAATGCACGACTTTATCGTTTCTGCTATTGGATTTCATTCTTTCTTTTATTCCAGTCTATGAGATCATCAGTTTAGTCTGCATTCCCCTCCCAGTCATCCTCCTGTAAATAATATTTCCCTTTCCCCTCCCCCCGTCATCCCACATAGTAGCTTTGTTAGATCAGAATCAGAACCAAAAGCCCTGCCATGAATGGTGTTCATAAAACACAGGGTCTTTCACGGTTCCCTCTTCCAACAACAGGCCCTCATCCCCTCCAGCTTGCCTCTTCACCCAATCTCCTGAAAAGGACAAAAGCTGATCCCACAGCTATAAATACTCAACTATCCAACAAAATGCACCAGAGCACAGAGAGAGTTTTGACTCCTGTCCTCTGAAGATGCCGGCCACAGAGACTGGCGAAACATTAGGAAGAACAACCTTCAGAACACGGCCAAACCCACAGCAACTAATGTCTGT